ATAGATAGATAGATAGATAGATAGATACACACATACACATATATATGGGGAGAGAGAGAGAGAGAGAGAGAGAGACCCAAAGTCAGAGGATGGAAAACAATGTATCATAGAACAGGAATCATGATAAAAGCAGGGGCAGGGGCCAGGGATTTAGCTCAGTGGTGTCACAGCTGCCTCACCTGCTCAAGGTCCTCAGTTCAATCCCCAAGAACAGAAAAAAAATCATTCCTAGAAGCAAGCATTACGATATCAAAACCAGAGAAACAGCCAACCAAAAAAGAGAACTACAGTCCAATTTCCTTAATGAACATGGATGCAAAAATCCTCAATAAGATACTGGCAAACGGAATGTGGCAAATTGTCAAGAAGATTATATACCATGACCAAGTAGGATTCATTTCAGGGATACAGGGATGGTTCAACATATGCAGATCAACAAATGTAATACACCATATTAACAGAGCCAAGGACAAAAAACATGATCCTCTCAATAGATACAAAAAAGCACTTGACAAATTCTAATGCCCATTCATGATAAAAACCCTACAGAAAATTGGAATGGATGGGCTATATCTCAATCTGATAAAATCCATCTATGACAAATCAACATCATACTAAATGGACAAAAACTGAAAGTTTTCACTCTAAAATCAGGAGCAAGATAAGGATGTCCACTGTCTTCACTTTTATTCAAAATAGTTCTTGAAACATTAGCCAGTGAAATTAGATAAGAGAAAGAAATAAAAGAAATATGAATAGGAAAGAAAGAAGTTAAATTATAATTATTTATGACCTGATACTTTACATAGAAGAAAATGAAAACTCCGCAAAAGACTTACAGATTTAATAACCAAATTCAGTAGTATAGCTGGATATGAAGTCAGCACTTGAAAATGAATAGCATTCCTGTACACAAATAACAAACTCACAGAAGAGAAATTGGGGAAACAACACCTTTCACAATAGCATCCAAAATAAATGAAATACCTAGGAATTAATCTAACAAAGGGAGTAAAAGATCTTTACATAGAAAACTATAGTGCTCTGAAAAAAGATCAAAGAGGATATCGGAAAACGGAGAGACATCCCTTGTTCTTCGGTTGGAAGAACCAATATAGTGAAAATGGCCATACTTCCAAAATTGCTATACAGATTTAATGCAATCTTGGCAAAGATTCCAATGTTGCATCTCACAGAATTAGAGAAAACAATCCTGAAATTCATTTGTAATGGGAAGAGATATAGAATAGCAAAGGCAATTCTGGGCAACAAAGGCAAAGCACGGGGCATCACAATTCCTGACTTGAAATTATACTACAAAACTACTGTGATAAAAACAGCATGGCAATGGCAAAAACAGGATCAGAGGAACAGTTTAGAAGATGCAGCAACAACTCCAGACATGCTCAGCCACCTTATGTTTGACAAAGGAGCCAAACACCTTCACTGGAAGAAAGCCTCTTTAACAAATGGTGTTGAAAAACTGGCATTTCACACGCCAAAGATTAAAACTAGGCCTATATCTTTCACTGTTCACTAAACTCAAATCAGAATGGACCAAAGATCTACATGTTATAACAGACACACTAAATCTGCTGGAAGGGAGAAAAGATAGAATTCTTTTTCAAAAAATAAATTTTATTTGATCCCATTGCTTTCCTCAAGCCCACTCCCCTCCCTATGTACAAAAGCTTTGGTTCCATTCCATTTTTCCTTCCATTTTCACTTTTTTATTGTCCCTTCTTTCTCCCTCCCTCTTCCCTTGTTCCCCTCCCCATTTGAGCACTTCCTCCCATTCTCCAAAGTGAATAGGTAGAATTCTTGAAGATGTTAGCATAGGCAAAGACTTTATGAACGAAACCCTGAGGCCACAGGAAACATCACAAAGAACCAACAGCTGGAATCTCATCTTTTTTTTTTTTTTTTTTTTTTTTTTCAGTCAAGAAAATGTTTATTATGAACATCAGGTACAACTTTAATCACGCTGTTAATTGCATTTTTCCTTTGCCTATTAACAGCTTCCTGTACAAGGTGGCTCACAGGTTAAACACCAGAATTATGCACGAGGCCTACTGACACTGACTAGGAAAGAAAGGACTTGGCTGTAAATACAAAGTCTATCACAAAGAGGTATTAGAAGGCTTTTCAAAAAAAAATACTATACAGTTTCACTGAATACTGGTTTAGCACGTGTGCCTCTCTGATAGTGATTCAGTTTGACTTTTGTTTTTGTTTTGTTGGTACCGGGGATCGAACTCAGGCCTTTGCCCTTGCGAGGCAGGCGGCGACACCACTGAGCTGAATCCCCGGCCCTCCAGTTTGTTTTTAAAAGCACAGCATTTTAGGGAACTTAGCGTTCTCTTAGATACACGGTGAGCACCACAGCGGCCTGCACAGTGGCTGGGGAGACAAAGGACCGCAACTCTTGCTGCAGCGCAGGCCGGTGGCTCCGTGGGAGAGGAGAGCTGGCCTGCCGCTGGTGAGGCGCAAGCGCAGGGCTGCAAAGAAAAACATTAATAAGTAAACCTGCTGTATTTTGTTACTTTAAAAAAAATCCACTTATATTTATGTCGAACTGATAGCTTTTAAAAAGCTGTTGAATTTAATGAAAAGCATGGTGTTATACAAAACAATTCAGGTTACTGTCCCTTTGCTATAATTCTTTGATGATGAAGCATGCCAGAAGAGGCACAGAAAGTAAAAAAAAACATAGATAACGGACTCCAATTTCATTTTACAGTTACTGAGGTAGAAGCTGGTCGTGTGTTTTTCCACTACAAGATAGAAAAATTTTCTAAATTTATTGATTCAAAGACATGTTTTCTTCAGCAGTTTTATAATAATCATAATTTTCTTTCTCTTTCTTCTGATTTTTGGTTTTGAGACAAGATCTTGCTATGTAGTTCAAGACAGGCTTCAACTCCTAGAGATGCTCCTGCTTCAGCCTCCCAAATGAGAGGATTACTACAGACCTGCGCTACCATGCCTGGCAGTAATCATGATTTTTAAACCAAGCACTGCACTGAAATTTGCTTCTTTTGTGTGCTTTTTACTTATAGAAATTCACAACCAGTACGAAATGTTACAAGGCAAGGCAGAGAACGTGTGGGCCAGGTGACAAATAGTTACTACAGAACAATGTAAATTTTCTGCTTTCTAAAGAAATGGTACTTTAGAATTCACTGTGACACTCTGACATAATTCTGACCATTAAGTAAACATTACAATTTTAATAAGTACCATACATAAAAAACATTTTAAAAATTACTTACACCTGACAAAATAATTTCTTGTATCTGATAAAGAGTTTGCTTGGATTTATCTTGGCAGTGTTTATTTTTATGAAACTTTTGAATTGCTTTTACTCCACAGAATCTCATCTTATTAAAAAGCTTTTACACAGGAGAAGAAATTACCAAAAGAGTGAAGGAACAGCCTGCAGGGCGGGAAAGATTTTTGCCAGCTGTTCCTCATACAAAGGACTAATATCTAGCATGCATGAAGAACTTAAAAAAATAGACCTCCAAATTAAAAACCCCAATCCAAAAATGAACAGACACCTCTCAGATAGAAAGGTAAAAATACCAAATAAATACATGAACAAATGTTCAATATCACTGGTCATCTGAGAGACGCAAGTTAAAACAATGCTGAGATTCCGTCTCCAGAGAGAATGGCTGCTATCAAGAAATCAACCAATAACAAATGCTGGTGGGTTATGGGGAAAAAGGAACCCTTCTCCACTGTTGGTGGTAGACTGGTGCAGCCACTGTGGAAATCAGGGTGGAGATTCCTCAGAAACCTAAAACTAGAGGTTCCATTCAAACCCGCTATTCTTGGTTTCTTTCCAAAAGAATTTTAAAAATAGAGAATTAAAAACATTATACTACAGTGATATACGCACATCCATGTTTATAGAGGCACAGCTTGTAATAGCGAAATCTTGGAAACAGCCCAAATGTCCATCAACTGATAAATGGATAAAGAAGATGTGATTTTCTTATACAATGGAATACCACTTGGCCATAAAGAATAAGTCTGAGCTAAATGCATGTTCCTTGAGACCAAACTCTTAAGTGAGATAAATCTAACACATATTTAAATACTGCATTATTTCCAAAATTGGAAAGAACCAAAATGTATAGTAGATATTGAGAAATACAAAGAAAATGTTTAAATTAGAAGGGCAACAAGGGAGGGTGAAGGAGAAAAGGAAAGAAGGGACAAGGAAAAAGAACAGAAGGAAAAATGAAAACATAGTTTTTGTAAATAAGGAGGGGAAGAGAGGTCTGTTAGATTTCCCTTGTCTTAAAATGGCCGCCCCATGGACTAGCTGCCTCCATGTGAAAATATGGCTTTTCCCCACAAAGGACAGGCTGCTTCTTCCCATCATGCCTCTTCTGACAAAAAAGTAACCTGATACTTGTTACCTCCTAGCAGCTAGTGATGTCACAAACCCCTCCAGTGATGTCACAGGCTCCTCCAGTCTCTTAATAGTACCTCACTCAACTCCACCCCAGCTCGGGCTAACCCCACCCCACTCCTATAAAAGAAGCTCCCTGTTCTGCCATGTTGATCCCTCTCCTTTGTTCAGAGACAGCCTGGCAGATCCTATCCATAATAAAGCCTTGTTTTGGTCCTGATCTGGTCCTGGTTTTCAGCTGGGTTTTTTTGTTTTGTTTTGTTTTGTTTTTAAACTCTCTCAACTCCTTTATCAGCTGTTTTTATTTAACAGGGTCAAAGTGAAAGTAAAAGTGAAGTGTGAGGGAGAAACTGGCTATGCAGAGGAAGCTTAGACCAAGTAAAAGGAGAAAAAAAACAATAAAAGGACACTCTGGAGCAAGCAGAGTGGGCTACCATGAAAATAGCATCTATATCCTTTTATGTTGTGCAAATCTCAAGGAAACCCAGGAGAACTTGTACACGTGGGTCCTGAGTGGTGTTGCTGGGATCCTACGCCTCAGGCTGAGGTCAGATACAGGCAATCCTGTTGAAAACCTGCTGGAGTTCTTACAAGAAGTCCACCTGCGGCGCTCTGGGTACTGCTCTGCGTATGTGTCCAGGATCCTGTAATTAACAGGTCAGTTCTACTTCCCTGGACACTTTGCTGTCCCTTAATCTCCTATCTTAATGTCTCCTGGATCACTGAATCATAGGCCAGCAAAGGGCCTGGTATGGATGCATCTGCCTGTAATCAAAATTGGAGCCCAAGCTGGGTGTGACAGCACAATCCGATAATCTTAGCACTCAGGAGGCTGAAGCAGAAGGATCTCCTGAGATGACAGCCTGGACCACATAGTGAGTTCAAATCCAACCTGGACTACATAGCAAGACCTTATCTCAAAAAAGAAAAGAGAAAGAGGAAGGAAGGGAGGGAAGGAGGGAGGAAGAGTGTACCCACTCTCTGCAATGTCTTCTCTCTGGCCTTCTCAGAGGCCAGGGATCCATCCTGCCCCCTGCTGCTTGCTCTGCCCCTCTGAACAATGTGTGGTTTCTTTAGTTTGGTTTTGTTGGTTTGGTTTGAGAAGCCACACTTTCTAGGCTTCAGTGATCTTCAGTTTAAGCACTCAGGGTGTGGTTTGCAGATGTGGGCATTTCATGCTTTAAGAAAATCCAGGATTGGGCAAGATTTATCATATACAGGTACAAATTCCCTATGCTGACTGTTATTATGTATACCTAAAATGTACCAATAAGTCTTTTGCCTCAAAAACAACCATCTCAGAAGGGCGTGGGGGGTGGAGGAACACTTTTCACGTAGTAGCGGTCTGGAAGCAGACAGAAAGAATAAGAGAGCCAGACAGTAAGGGGCCAGGACCCGGTATAGTTACCAAGATCACTCCCCGAGTCTCCCCAGTCTTCAGTAATTTCCTGTGTGTCTCTCGAGACAATCAAGATTATAAAATACTGGTGATGATGTGTTATGAGGTAAATTGTGTCCCCTCGAAATTCAGATGGTGGAACCCTAAGTCCAAGTGCCCTTAGAATTTGACGTTCTAGGTAAAGCCTAGCAGCAATAAAGTTAAAATGAGGTATATTAGGGCCAAATTATCGTAGAGAGCTAAGTTAATTAGATATTTTGTAGGCAGTTAGACAGGGCTAGCCCTAGAGGGGTCAGTAGGAAAGACAAGTGAGACACATTCATTGAAGGTCAGCATTATAAAAAAGGAGAAAGTACTACCCTTACATACTTCCCCTAGAGATGAATAGCAGTGACTGATACTCTAAATACACACCGATCACCTTACAGGAGGCTAAAATCTCCCTAACCCATTCCTTCCAGGGTCCTTGTTCAGTCCGTACACACTTGCTATGTGACCAGCTCCCCCATTTGATCCTCATTTAATCAGTATTACCTAAGTGCAGTCTTAATTGATTATTGTTGCAATCTTGTTGGTTGATCATGGTTTTGCCCCACCTCATGATTTCTCGTTGGACCAATATTACCTAAGTGATGGTAATTTTAATCTTTTGGGGTTTTGGGTTTTTTTGGTTTTTTGTGCCAGGGATCAAACTCGGGCCCTTGTGCTTGCGAGGCAGGTGGCGGAACCACTGAGCCAAATCCCCAGTCCAATACTTTTAATCTTAATAGTTGACTCTAGTATTGTCCCACCTTGTACCTGCCTCACCGCACGGCTTTGCTTAATAAAACACTTTTGAAAAGTGAGTGGGTAGGCAATACACTTTCTGGTCTCTTTCTAGACAGAAGCTATCTTTCTCTCAATAAAATTCATTCTTTTATTTTAAAGAACGTGTACTCCCGTTTTGGATATCTACCAGGTTGGAATGATATTTCTCTTGTTTGAATTGTTTTGGTTATTTTAATTACTTGGTGCTCTATATCAAAATTGGTAGGCTCTAATCCAATATAACTGATATTCTTACAAGAAGAGAAAATTAGAGCACAGATATGCACAGAAGAAATATCACATGTGAACAAAGCAGAAAGATTGCTGTCTCAAAGCTAAATTGGCTTAAAAAGAGAATTTCTTCTTCTTGGAAGAAACCAACCATACAATCACCTTGATATGGACTTGTAATCTTTAGAATTTTGACAACATATATTTCTGTTGCGTAAAGCACCGAGTGTATGATATTTTGTTATAGCAGTCCTTGGAAGCAAATGCATGTTTTTATCAGATCATTAAAATCTATGGTGACTTAGCTAGCTTGATAACTAGCCTAACATCAGGGAGGAAAAAGCATAGAATTTGTGGGCATGGTGGTGTATGCCTGTAATCTCAACACTGTGGGAGGCTGAGGCAAGAGGATTGCAAATTCAAATCCAGCCTGGACAATTTATCAAGGCCCTGTCTCAAAATAAAAATATGCCTCACAAGCACAAGGCCCTGAGTTCGATCCCCAGGAACAAAAACAACTAACTTAACTAACTAAATAAATAAACAAAGTTCTGAAATGTATGTAGCTCAGATTGAAGGCCCTGGGTTTAATCCTCAGTAAAACACACACACACACACATGTGCTCACACATATACACACACACAGTAAAATTTAATACACTGAATTTGTTTTCTACAATAAGGTACTATTGCTATTTCTACAACGAAGCACTGATGGTATTAACAGTGATTCCGTACTATATTAGTTATCACCACATAACAAATTATCCCAAAACTTAAAGCCTTAGAACAACAATAAATTATTATTTCACAGTTTTAGGCTTGGCTAAGTGGATCCTTACAACACCCACCACCAGGGATGAACTCAGGACCTTGCACTTGCCAGGCAGGCATGGCACCCACTGAGCTAAATCCTCAGCCCCTAAGCGATTTTAACTTAGAATCTCAATGAGTTTACATTCAGAATGAATTGCTCATCCAAACACCTGAGGGCTGGAGAATCCTTTCTAAGACAATTTTCTCACTCGGCTGTCAGTAGCTGGCTCAGTCCCTTGCTGTTGACAGATGGCCTCAATTCTCATCACGTGACTCTCTCCTAGAGATACTTGAGTCTCTTGTGACGTGGCAGCGGGTGGTTGGTTTCCATCAGAGCAGGCCATTCAAGAGAGTAGAATGGGGGCTGGGTGTTTAGCTCGGTGGTGCCCACACCTGCCTGGCAAGCAGAAGGTTGGGAGTCTGATCCCCAGGACCAAAAAGATAGGGGCGGGGAGGGACAACAGAATGTCTTGTGTGACCTAGTGTTGGAAATTGTGAGAGGGCACTATACAAGGGTGTGAATTGTAGGAAGCCGGGAACATTGGGAGGATGGAGCATAAATCCTTTTGTGTGCACTATTCAATTCACCAGTCACAACAATCCACAGAACTAGTTATCAGTTATCTCTGTGCCTCACATCTTTTCATGTCTGCCAAACAGTAGGCACTTGAGATTTTCTTTTAAAGAAAGAAGCGCAGGAGAGGTTAAGACTCAGGATCTATGGCCTCATTACCTAGATTCAAATTCTTGATGATGTTTACTATTCAATTTTAGGCAAGTTTCTTGACATGCTTGTATTTTTTAAACATGCACCACTATAATTAGTTCCCTGAGAATATCCTAGAAAACTGTGATTTTTCTCTACCCTAGTTTTACATTTAAGGAAGGAGATCATTTCCTTCGTGATTTCTTACTCTAGGTTTTTAGCAGAGGTGAGAGCACAAGCAGGGAGAAATCAAAAGTTCTCCCAGTGAGAGAGGAAGAGGAAAAGTTTGTGCGACCACAGCAAAAGCCATGATTTCCCCTGAAGATGGAGGAAGGAACATAGGTTGGCCTCCTTGATTATCGGCCTTGGGCATGTGTGTGCCTTCAGAGTCATGCCAACAAGTTGGGTCCAATTTTTCATGTAGTTTGGGTCTTCAATGTGAGGACACAGCAGGCCTGATTTCTTCCTTGGTACAGAGTTCTTAGACTGTGAGGGACCTATCACATCCAGCCTTATTGCTAGGGAGTTGGCCTGGTTCTCTTGTACCCTCACCATCACAGCTATGGATCCCACACACGACATCGAGGTCAAAGAGCGTCTACTTGACCATATTGTATGGTTCCTCTGGCCATGGAACACCCAGGGTAGGTGGGAAGGAAACAGTTTTCCTGATCCTGGCCTGCTAACCAGTTGTATTCCTATCTTGGCTAGTCTGAGGCAGATCTGGGACCGCCCAGCCTTCAGCTTTGTTGAAGACAGGCTGACCACACCTCTCTCCGGCTTCGGGGAGCTCATGTGCTTTAGCTTGTATTACAAAGGCTCCTGGAAATGAGGGTATTTAGGGATAATATATGACCCCTTCTTAGCCCACTCTGACTTTGGCTGCAGACCCAAAGTTATTGACATTAAAGGTGTCATCTTTTAACCCAATTACAGAAAGCATCTTGTTCTTCATGATGGAAACTACCTTGGGTAAGTAATAAGCTCCCCATCTTCCCCCCATTAGACCTGCACAGCATCTACACACCAGTTTAACTTCCACCCTCCTCAGATAAAAGTTTTTGTACAGCAGGCAATTAGCTTTCAGGCCATTCTAATACAGAGCAAAAGTTTATTATTTTTTCTCTTTCTTAGCTGCAATACAGAGATAGGACACAGATTTTTTTTTTTTCTCACCTCAAGGGTACTATGAAAATTAAGCCTTTTCTGTCCTTTGGGTCCTATTTTTCATAGCCTAGGAGAGGAATCAAGGGAATTGGAACCAGAAAGAGACCTGGGGTGGGGAGGTACACACAAGAAATAATCTCTAGGAAATAATTCAGAAGGGAAGAAAGCTCTTTCCTAGAAAATCAGGGTGCACGGGTATAATAGAAATCCTCCTGAGGGCATTTGATTCGGCCACAAGTTACCTAGGAGTTATCATCTGCACATATCCTACCTATCCCAGATGTGAGCCTCTCATTTCGGAGACTGTGTACAGTGGTTTGCTGGGGCCGCCGTCACAGATTGCTACAAATGGGTAGCTTACACCGCAGAAATTTATTTTCTCAGTAGTCTGGAGGCTAAAAGTCCAAAGCCCAAGGTATTTGTAGGTTTTGTTTATCACAAGCCCTCTCTCCTTTGACTTGAAGACAGTCTTTCCTTTACATATTTGCCCTCCTGTGTCCTTACGTGTCCAAATTTCTTTTGCTGCTAAGG